CAAATATTTTTGTTAAACTATATCCACGAATGATTAAAGTTAAAAAAAAAAAATACTGGACAATTTTAAATTCTCTATATTTTACGTGCAAAGCTGTTAAAATAAAAATTCATAGGTCGTAAAAAAGATATATCGAGATTGCAAAATTTACAGGTATTAGAAAAAAAATTGAGAAATATATTGAGAATTGTAAAATTTATAAGAATGACAGAAAATCTATCTAAATTGCAAAATTCATAAGGGTTACAAAGGTTGAAAAAATTTTTTGCATACAATTTTATAATAATCGTCAAAGTTGCAATTTTATTCCCATTCATTAATTCTCTTCTTCCTCTTCGATTCGATTTAAAAAATTTCTTATCTCATTTTATATGATTGCTGTACACGAGCTTACGCTTATGGAAAAAGTTTTCCACCACTCAGTGTGTATACTTATTATGATTCATCGAGAGATTTTCATGCATAAGACGAGCGATCATTACACGGTTTCTCGCTTACCAGTTCAAAGGTGACATAGCTCGCTTTCTGTTTGCGGAATGCGATGAAAATTGCATTTTGTCTGCAAGGTAGATCACGTATGAAACTTTGTGTCCATATAATTTTTTGATCAATTTTAATACAATCATGTATAATATATGTTACATATATAAAAGATAAATTTTCTTTATTCTTCTTAATTAATTCTTCGTGAATAGAGATGGAAAATTTTGTTGAATTAATATCTTTAATTGATTAATGCGATTAAAAGAATTAGGATATCCCATATTAATATTACGAAACAATTATATTTATAAAATTTAATCAAGCACATTTTAAACAATGATTAATAACTGCATTAATAATGATGTATTAATATATTAATATAATTAATAATAAAATCTATATTTGCATAAACAGCTTCGTTAAAAAATGATATAAATGTATTTCCAAATAATTTCGAAACACCATATTATATTCATTTCGTTCTATTTTATTGCATACTACTTTAAACATTTCTTCGCAAAATTTCGTATTCCTCGTTCAAGAAAGGAACGCCAAACGTCTCCAAACCAGTTTTCCATACATGAATCGATAGATTGAACGAAATTAACCATCTGTTTCAACACTTTTTCCACATTCGACGGGTTGATGTTAATAACAACGGACAGCCAATCGCGATTAAGCGGGCCATTAAAGCGTTAATTAACATCGACGCCCCGGAATCCTTTGTATCGTAATTGTTACCTTCGCCCCCCGACCCCCTTCTCCCCCTTCTTCCTGTGACGCATTAACACCGTATCGGTGACAAGCCGCGTTCAATTCGTCGAATAAAATGTCTGACATTGATTGAGACATCACACGACCGCAGAATCGAGTTTAATCGAACACGTGTACGCCATTCCAGCCCAGATGAAAAATAAACAATCGAATTCATACGACTCGACTCGACTCGACCCGGTACGCTATTTGGTTTTTGGAAATTTTCAAGTGCACACGTAAGAGATCAGGTATAAATATTTCTTTTCTTCTTTTCTCTTTTCTTCTTTTTTTCTGGAGTATTTTTTACTTTCAATGGGAAATCGAATTCGTTCGCTTGTAAAAAGGGGGAGCCAAGTTCTCTACATGACAATAGACGTCAATAGGCTTTTATTACAGTGACGAGTAGGCGTGCAGTATACTGGAACGATATATAAAACGTTGGGGGTGGAAAATACTCGTCTCATCAGAAGGCGAAATTTGATGGCGGAACGAAAGAACGTGGGTCTTTCGTAAATTTCGTTCCCTATTTCTTTTTTTTTTTCCTTCCTTTAACCTCTTGCGTTTATTTTGAAAAGAAATACTCGTGTTAGAGGATTTTTTAATTATATGCAGTTTGTAAGAGTAAGTAAATAAGTGTGGAGAAAAATTTGATTTTTAATAAATTGTTATCGTTCACCGTATCTATATTGGATATTCTTCTATAATGTTCTAGTTATTAACGATAACGTAATCAAATACTATAAACGTGTTTCCAAAATTTATCACCCTCAAATACAAATAAAATATCGACACGAGTTTTCACTTTCGAGGAACGTCACGCAATAGATCAGATATCGAAATTCGAAATGCAACAGGATCGAAATGCCAATAAATTTTATATTAGTAGGATAAGCAGAGCCTCAAATTCTTCAATTTCTTATAAGGAATATTTAATGTTACATATCTTTTATAGCTTATAGGTGTACATCTTAAAATTTTGATTTTTCCAAACGAATAAAATTATAATTGAAACCTAACACCATTGACATTCTTCTACTAGGAAATATTTTTTCAAAAAGAAAAAGAGAAAGTACACACAATCACTTCACATTTTATACAAAGATCTACTGATAATTTCAATCGCAAATTTTTGCTTAATTTGTCTTACTTAATTTTATAATTCGTATCTGAATAAGAAATCAAAGCACGGACAAGAAAATGGAATAATGAGTCAACAACTGATTTTCATTTTCACAGTTTCACAGCTCGACCGATATTTTATTTTAATCAGTACAGTCTCACCGTATTATTAAAACGTTTTGACATGCATAGGAAAAACGATTATTATCCTATACTGTATAAATATAAAGTACATAAAATATGTAAAAATATATTTATAACATTTTACACACGTTATACATCGTGTAAAATATCATTTCTTATAGAACACTGAACGTTGTGAAAATTTCGTTCCCCCCTCGAGGAAGGGATTAACCTTTCCAAAGTGCAATGAATGGCGCGAAATTCAGGAGGATTCGAATAAAGCGAATTAAATAATTATTTATATAACGAAACAATTGTTCAAAATGTTATCCCATAGATCAAGCTTCGATAACTGTGATAAATTAGTTTAAAAACCATGCTTCTCACTGCTAAAACTTTGAAAAGCATCCCCTATATAGCCACGTAACGTAATAACAAATCCCCGTGGCTTAATAAAACCAAAAATAGCGCGTGCAAATAAATAAAAATTCTATTCAAGGAACGACGCGATCGTTTCCTTGACAAATCAAACGAAATTTTCGAAATTCCCCGCCGATTATCCGCGATTAATTTTCCGTGAGAATCAGGCGGAGAGGATCGGGTGGCGGCCAAGTTATCGCGTAATATACGAACGAAAGAGAGATTGCCAGATAACGGATATACAATAGTTTTATTGGGTCAACGATGGCGCGCCACGCGCCATGTCCACGTTTCACGGATACGTGACGATAGCCAGGTCTGTGCCGGTGTCGATTCACACGAGGCTCATCCAGCGGACGTGTCGCGTGAAAACTCGGGACTAATGAACACAAACGATATCCCATTAGGGATGAAGAGAGACGGTTGATGAATTATGCTTGAGAGGGGGAGGATGGCGGCCTTTTTTATCTTTTGTTCCGTGGGAAGGGGCGGTGATATCGAGCAAAGAGTAGTTAGATTGTAAATCACCTGTCGATACCATCCGCGGGCAGCTGGGATCGTTCGCGCCGATCTCTCCCGCGTTAATAAGTTTCGGATGATCGATAAAGAATGCGTGGGCGAATGTTGGAACGAAGGAGAATGTTGGAAGATGGCTCGTTTCGGATTTTCGATCCTGCTCTGGTGATCTTGTTAGAGAGATTGGGGAAGAGGTGTGAGACGTTTGGGATGATTGGTGGAATGGTAAATCGGTTGAATTGTAATTCGTTGGAATAATGTTGAAGTTTGGATGAGTCTGGGGGAGGGGGAGGGAGAGTTGTTCCGGTATGACCTTTTACTAACTGGTCATTTATTTAGTAAGAATGGATTTTAAATTTGCGGGAAGGAGCAGGATAAATGAGGAAATTGTAGAAATGGGTCGTATTTAGTATGGAGTGGTATTATTAATTTAAATATGGTGTTTTTAAATTGAATAATGATTCATAGGAAGAAATATAGACTAAACTTTTTATTCTTTCGAACGTGGTTCAAGTAATTCTAACGAAGGAATGAAAGTGAAAATAATATTTAAAAGTGGATTTTTATATTATTGTAATGAATAATCTTTTGGAAATATTAATCTTCTTGTGTATTTAAATTCTTCTTTTGTTTCTAAGCTACATGCACGTTACATAATAAAATATGCAGAGTAGAATTAATAAAGCACATAGAGTTTAGAAAAGTTTGACCGATCACCAAACGCCATGACCAAGAAATTTCTTCAATTTTTCTTCGAAGTTTTCTCATGATCTATCTATATTTTTTCCATTTAACTATCTGCGTATCCAAATACGGAAATCCATCATTCTCGACATCATTTCTTCTATAATTCAGAATAATCATTACAGAGAAAAATAAATATTCGAAAATTTCCTCTTCGTATGCAGGTGTTGAATTAGTTATTCGAGAATAATTCTATGCTCGAAATCACACTTTCCAAATTTTCTTTCCCCATGCATGGAAATTTTTCACAAAGCATTTCCACGCAGGTCAGTCTGTCACGAATCTTCTTTTAAAAACGATTCTTTCGCGAAACATAATTTCAAAATATCGTGTAACACGATTAAAAGAATTTTAATCATTCTGTTGGACAACGTAGTTTCACGCGTTTTTTCTTATTCGATTTTTTCGTACAAAGTGAATGAAATTTGAATTTGATAGAACGTTTCGAAAGTTTTATTTTAACAATTATAACAATCTTTTTATAATTGTAAAAATTGTACTAAATATAATTGTAAAAAAAGTATCTAGAGGTATAATAAGTGATGCATATATAAGTATGGAAATTTTAATGGTATTTACAAAAGTAGGATTTTAATTAACACATTAGATTTTTACTTTTGCAGATTGCAGAGATTTTTCTAATATTCTAAATAATTAAATTTATCTTTATCTTTTGAAAAATACTGTTATATTAATTTTCTTATTGTAATAATTTTATATATGTGTGTGTATTTTTTAAAATTACAAAGATATATTTATAAAAATATCATTTAATCTTAAATTCAAAGTGAAAGAAAGAGCAATTATTAGCACGAATACTTAAAAATAATTTATCAGCATCTTTCTCTGTGAATTTAAGAACTTAATTTTTGTAATAATAAAAAAATAAAATCTCTGCAATTATCCAAGAATCAATGATTCTTCTCACCACCTTTTTCATCGTCACCCTTCTTGTACGACCATTTCTTGCCATCTTTATGATCTTTCTTTTCCCCGTGCATGCTTTTATATTCGCGATGACTATCCTTGCCCTCGTTAACCTTATGACCTTTGTCCTCATAATGGTGATCGCCTTTCGCGTACTTGCCTTCTTTACCGTACTTTCCCTCCTCGCCGCCTTCGTTATGGTGTCCCGATTTATAATGGCCACCCTTGGACATTTTGTGCTCGTCATACAGCTCACCTTCCTTCTCCATATCCCCATCTTCGTGAAATTCGTCGAAGAATTCCGTTCGCTTTTCGAACTCGTCCTGAAATAAAAAAAAAAGAAAAAAATCAAGAGAAAAATAATACTAAAAAATAATATCAATCGAGACAAATTAATTCACTCCACATAGGACTTACCTTTTTGTGCACAGAGTGTTGTCCTTTGGTATTGTAACCCTTTTGATGCTCACCCTTCTCGTCGAATTCCGCCTGTTTCTCGCCTTTCTCGCCTTTTTGATGCTCCTCGTGGTAACCACCCTCTTCCTTGTGCTCTTTCTCATCGCCATCCTTCTCGTCGTAATAATTGCTCTGCTGTTCCTTGTCTTGATGACCCTTATTGGCTTTCTCGTTCTCGTGCCAACTCTTATAGACCTATGGAAAACACAAATCAAACACACTCTCTTACTAACTTCCTTATTGATATGGTATTAAACACATCGATATTGAAACTATCCATCTAATTAATATTTTCTTCGTCTTCTTTCTATTCTTGTTCTATTTAAACGTTATTATCTACGAAATAATAATAAACTCAAAGAATAAAAAAAATTTAAAAGTATCGATAAAATTTAATTTACGTGTAATATAGATATAGATTTTAAAAGATTGATCGATCGAAACATAAATATTGAATATTGATCCAATGGTATTGACATCTCCTACCTTCTCTTCCTTCTCACCCTCGCTGTTATGATGTTCCTGTTCTTCTTCCGTGGCTCCACCCTTCTCAAATTTCTTCTCACCATCCTTCCCACTTGCGTCATCTGCTGCACCCTCCTTCGCACTCTGATGACTTTCATTATCGTGCGTGCCATCGCTTACAACATCCTCCTCCTCCTCCTCTTTATCATTATACTTGTGCGCGTATCTTCTGTATCCCTTATCTTCATACTTTTTATACCTTTCAGAACTATCCTCTGCAGTCTCAGGCAAATCTCGATGATTCTGTTGATCTTCAGTCTGATGATCTTCGTCTTTACGAATTTCATATTTCCTGCGTTTCTCATTTTCGTCGTTTTCGGAAGTTGTGACCACTGTCACGTCATCTGAAGATGCTTTATTAATTCTTCGTTGTCTTCCTTCGTATTTTCTTTGTTTTCGTTGGAATTATCTACTTTTGATTCATTTTCGACAGTAGACTTAAATTGCACTACTGTAGGCAGCAATGGCGGATAGTAGTACATGTGACTAGAGGAATACAGATTGGATTCTGTGAAAGATACTGGAGTGGATACAATTGGATTCATTGAATCAATAGTGGCTGGAATATTTTTATACAAATTCGATTGAGTCACCGATGAAACTTTGGAGGATGGATCTATATCTGATTCACTAATGTATTTTCTATTATTATATATTGGTTTGCTTGTTGAGCTTTCATTCTCAAAATCATTTGTCTCAGTAGTTTGAATATTTTTATAAGAAGGATTGTCTTTATTTGGTTTAAAGGATTCGTTAGTAGATGTGGACAAAGGATTGCCTTTTACTGTAGAACTATCTTCTGTGTCTTCGTATAATTTTCTCTTCGATCCAGACGAAGAGATTTTTAGTGGATCCATTATCTTTGAATAATCTTTCGAATAACCATCACTGATTTTCACATTCTTTGGATGAACATTTTTATCAGAGACGTTAGTATTGTTAGAATTTACTTCACCACCGATTAACTTTTCTAAATTATTCTCCTGATTTTTCTCACCAGATCTGATCTCGGATGAAAATGGTCTAGGCTCAACATTGTATTTGATCTGCAGGCCCAATTTCTTTGATTTGTTTCTACCTTCATTATTAAACGATTCTTCGGTCTTAGGATAATTAACAACATTTTCTAAGAGTTTAGATGCTTCTTGCTTCGTTAAAGATTTATTTTTCATTCGTTTACGTGTTTTCTTCCTTCTATTTGCTTTGGTTGAATTAGAAATGTCACTTGGAGATGTGTTTCTTGCTTCTTCTGATGATGTGATAGGGGAAGAATTTGGCGTGACATGAATTCTAAAGGATTTACGTTTGAAAGTTGTGACTGGGTACGTGTTTTGAGATTTTGGATTTTGCTCGGTTTTCAGCGATTTTGGAGCGCGTTGGTTGGCTCTAGTATAGTATTGTGGAGTTATTGTTACTTTATTGGGTTCTATGGTTCGTGGCACTTCGTAGTAGAGACTGGTAACATCTGGCGTTACTGGATTTGCATTTTCATTACTGTAAGTTATAGTATCTGAAAATTAACGTTTTATTTTTTATTATAAGATAAAAATTGAAAAGAAATTAAGTTGATGCAAAAAAAATTTTCAATATTAAAATTCATTTGAAGAGGTAATAAAAAATTAATGAAACTCTTCATTTTATTTTTCACGTTTTAATCAATATTTTTATCAACTATATAGTTCGATCACTATTAAAATTTCATAGTAATAGCAAATAATTATCATTGTAATAATATAAATAACAATAACTTTTGTTTAAATATAAAAAATAACAATAATAAAAATAAAAACTAATATACATTTCTTGCTTACCAAGATTATCGCTAAAAGTATTTATAATTTTTCCTTTTTCTTTGTTATTAATCTTTCGTGGCTCGTATTCCACGATAGATAAAACATGCTCTAAATTTTCCTTCTCGTTATCAACGTTCATCATCGCTATATTCGATGGATCCACTCGTTGATCCAACGTTTCATCCTTATTCCTTTTTTTAGGAATTACGTTTCGAGTCTCTACTAACATCAAAATTTCGTCATTAATTTTTTTAATATTATCGCCATTTAGAAATTCGGTTTCTCTTGGAGTCGTAAAGACTGTTCTCCTCATTCTGTGGACTTTTGCATTTATTGTCGTCCATCTTGTTCCCTGCACAAGATATTTATACAGTATTTAATATGAAGAAAATCAATCATAATTTCCTTTAACAAAATCTTTTTTCACAAAATTGGTCAGGATAATTTTATTTTAATTTTATCTCGTTCAAAATAAAATATATTAATTTAATATTGTATTAAATTTATAATCTTTTTTTCTCCGCAAGAAAGTTTCTCATGTTTTTAAAACAAAAACATTTAATATTTTAAAAGTTATTTAATTTATATTTTAACATTGCAATATTAATTTTACAAATAAAATATGTAGTCATACGTTTCAGCGAATGAAATTACTTCAAAAATATATAATTTACGAAAATCGTCCAAAAGACTCTAATTAAAATTATACACTTTTAATTCTCATAATGTAATCAATATTCTTGTGATTACATTTATAAAAAAGTGTATGATAAAAAGATTTCATCAGAGATCTTCAAATAGGATTAAATATAAAAAAATGCAAATTATAAATTATGAATGCTCCTAAATATTTCTATTCCTATTAAAATATTTAAATCAACTTTGTAAAAATTATAGTCTCCAGTAGTTTTTATCAAATTCCAATCTTTAGAAATTTAAAAAAAAAATCACATCTATGTGTACATTTGATATTTGAAACAAAAATCAAAAATTCAAGATTCAATCGTCTTCACAATATTATCGAAACATTAAACACATATTAAATATAATTATTTATAAAAATTATTTTTCGTAACAACGAAACAATTTTCTTGCATTTAAACATTTACTTAAAATAAAAAAAAATTAAATGTAACGTAATTTATAGAAAGATATGGGCAACGTTACCAGGCAAAACAACAAAAGCAAGAGGCTGACAGTCCATGACCCAAGGATTCCCATTTCTCGTCGGGCACAGGACGAAGACTGAGCTGTGTTTCGAGTCGAGCTAGGCAATTATATCGGTAGTTTCTCGATCTCAAGAAAGCAATCCTCGAATGATATGACAATTTCACACCGATTAGAAGGCGAGATTTAACCGATTGAAACAGTAAAGCCGTCATTCGGTTATCGATCGATCGCAAGATCCTTTCGGCTTCCTCCTTTCTCTATCCATAACACAATATAACATTGTTGCACAAGATGGTCGCTCGGCCGAATCGTGGTAAGTATCTTGAGCTCGAATGGATTACGTAAGATTTTGTGTTTATCCTTCCTTTTCTTCTCGTTTCTATTTCATTTTGCTATTTCTTTTTTCTTTTCTTATTTTACAATACATATAGGTTCCAAAAATATTCGACCATATTGGATATTTTATGAACAATTTTATAAAAAGAAAGAATTTTTTATATATTTATTACTTTAATTTGGGAATATCAGTTTAGTTGTTTGATAAGAGAACATACAATAAGTATTCTTTTTTTTTTTTTCATTGATTGATAATTTGATTTCATATGCTTCTAATTTTTTGTCTAAATTCAATATAATTTTTTGTTCATCCTATATTATATTTTTCTTTCCTCAAATCTTTATCTTTGATATTTTATATGGAGGAAAGATTAAAATATTCATCATGTTTTATCGTTGGACAATTAACTAGAATAAAAATAGAAAAAAATTTGCTAATTTATATGATATAGTAAATATATGAAAGAGGAGATTGCAAATGCTTATGAATAATTTGATGTTGTTTTTTGCGACGAAAGAAACGAAACTATTAACTCGCGTTTAACATACCTACTTTCTGCTTTAATTTTCCGGTATATGTCATTTCTTGGTAAATGGAATGCGTTAAGTTGCAATTTAAACTGAAGTTATAGTCAATTCGAATAAAGATTCAATTCGAAAAGGATTTTATTGGGTAATCTTTCAAGAATATTATGCAATTAATTCAAGAATATTATTTGTTTTATGCATTTTTTTATTGATTAAATTATACATTCAATGCTGATACTATTCAAACTGGTAACTAAAATTGGAAATTTTAAATAACAAATAATTATGACACGATCACGAACATGATGTTCAATTTCAATCGAATTATCAGAAAATCGTATATAAATTCAAATTATACAACAAATTTGCCTGTTTATTTATTTTTGGAATTTAAATATCTCTTTAATAAATATACTAGGAAAAAAGATTTATTTCAAAACAAGAATTTTATCTTTTTTGTAACATGTTTGGAAGAAAAATATTAAACAGTCCATATATATTTTAAATGCGAATAATAAAATATGTTATAAGTGATTGAAATGCTCTGATTAACGGTTGAATGGAAGAATTATACTTCTTTGTGAATATTTAAAAGATTGGCTTATATAATGGTTTCTTATCTTCTTTTTTACCAATTATGTAATCTATGCAATTTCCATTCTAATGAATTCAAATTTCAAACGAGATTAAGAAATTAGACGGAAATGAAATGAGACTTTATTTCTGTTACACCATAGTTACGTATTACTATATTTCTCGCTTCATCAAACGTCAAATTTAAACAAGCCTCAATCGAGATTTTTGCATAGCAACTTTTACATCATATCCTATTCATCAAATTTCCATTCTATTCATTTCTAATAGTAATTTTTTTATTATCTTCGTACTCGAAAACTTACCTTTAATATTCACGTCAGATGAGCTGAAGCACTAAACTCTTGTTTTCAAGCACGACACGATTATGCTTAATACGTTCGATGTGGAAACGATATATTGAGAAGAAGATACTCTTGAGTGATGAAAATTTTCGCATGAAATAATGAAAAATAACGAAACC